TAGAGTTGAGAAGCGAAACATTTTTTCGGCTACTGCCAATCGAAAATCCTATCTCTGATCACCGACAAGGCAAATTTTGAGAGTTGCTGGATTTCGATCGGTCGTCACCAAAGATCAACCTTTCTTCATTCCGTCTAACTGATACTGGAAATCTTTTTCCATCCTAATTCCGATCGAATCATTAAGAGTTGCTGCTTTCTTTATTCATTACTTTTGGAATTGTTATTGTTGTGAACTAGTCATTGAAGTGGCCAATGCTCAACACCAATCGTCATTAAATTAACAATTTATTTCATAAAAAATACAGCTCACATTCAGAAAGGTTTATGTTTCGAAAACAGATTTCAAGAAAGAAAAAGCAATAAATCAACAAAAAATGAGCGAAAATACTATGAAATCCCAAAAAAAGAGAAGAAATGAAAGGGAATGATTGATTTTGTCGTTTCTTTTCGAATGCCGGAAGAAAAAAGCGCATGGGAAAAGTAAAAGTCAACGGAAGCAATTAGGAGCGATATTTATTTTTCAACATAAACACAGCAAAAAANAAAAAATAAAACAACTTTCAAGGCTTTCAGCGGGTGTGTCTTCTTGTTAGTAATCACCTTGATTTTGTATAAAATGCAGAAAGTCTCCCGAGTCAGATCATGCAAGCTTGTTTCAGTCGCATCTGCTGGGTAGATGTCACGAATTTTGACAATGAACCAGTCATCTGAACAAGACGATTATTTGAGTGGTTCCACAAATTTAGAGCAGTGGTTCTCCACCCTTTTTTGTCTCCCGCAACCCCTAGAAAATTTTAAGATGCCTTCGTAGCCCTTACAATAATAGTTTATTCAAGAATGCAACGCGATCAAAAGAATTATTTTTAAAGTATTGCCCACTTCACCCAACGTATGCGGCTTTGAACTCAGTCCTTACCTACTTTAATGCACAATATAAATTATGAAACCCGGTCTCGCACTCCCTGGAATTCCATTTCATACCCCCCTCCCCGAGGAATGCATGCATACCCGGTTGATAAAGCCTCATCCAGAATAGTATTTCAAAAATTTCGAATTAGATGAGGATAAGGGTTCGAGAGAGTTGCAGTTGTGCATCGTGATGATGATCTGGTGCGTTTAGATGTACACCTCCGACTTCACCAACGGATGAGAACACACCAACTTTATTGCTGGATGCTGGTTACGATGATGATGGTACGAGCGTGAATGCAACGCATATCAGCTATGATAACGACGACACGAACAGTGACGAGTGCCAGTCGGTAAATGATGCGTACGCGAATATACCGAACGTTAAGCAGTTCAGGTGCTCCACTTCCTCATTCTTCAGTTCCTTTTCGTTTGCAACTAATCCCCTCAGGGATCGCCATCGCCAGTCTTGGAAAGATCCATGATAAGATGAGTACATCTGGCATGAGCAGTAAGCAAGCAAGTCTGAGTAAACTGATGAGTGGCTCAAAAATATCGCATCTCATCATGAGAGCTCATCATGAGAGTGAGGCGTACTTTTGTTCACAAATCGCTTATTAGTAAATGCCACAATGTACAGAATGAAATTTCGTGCTGATCTAGCATGAAATAATATGATCGAGAGCAGTGATTTCTCTATATTCCAGTTGAACTCTTTTATTCCTGATACTGACACTGAAAATCTCTTATTTCAGCTCATAAACTTTCTATTCCTGTTCTATTCCTCTTCTATACCATGGTGTAGAATAGAACAGTTCCTAAAAGAGGAACGCACACAGTAGAATAGGATAGAGCCGTTTGAGAGCAGGTTAGAATGGAATAGAACAGAACAGTCTTCAAAAAGGTGGTATAGAGGCATAAATCACTAATCAAGAGTATGTATGCGCTTATATGCTGCCGCATACAATTACTCTCGAAATAACAAGTTATTGTTTGAAGTTGACTGTCAGTGCAAGCTCAATGATTCGTAAATAACTGAAAATTCAGTCTCTTATCTACAAAATTTGCAGAAAAATCGCAAAAATCGCCGAGATCGGCTTAACGGTTGAAGCAATTCTGCTATTGTTGGTTGTCACGAATACGGTGATGCTTTCGATATTGCTGTTGAAAACCAAAGATCACTTGTCCACTGCTACAATTCTATTCATTTTCAATATTCTCTTCTCGAACGTGCTTTTCATCGCTTCTTTCGTCGGATTATTCGCCGATTTTCTGGACGATGAACAATTTGGACAACTCTCTGAAGAGGTGATTCTGCTGAAGAGTTCATTAATTATTCATCGTGTTCATTCAGCCTTTCGCACTCATTTGTGCATTCGTGCACATATTTCCAAATTATTTATTTATTCGTATTAACGGCTGACTGAGTGCTGCAGTTTTTGACAATTTTAAGTGTGCGCAATTGTTAAACAAAACAATTTGTCGCAAGAATAGTATCGTTTGAGTTTTTATGAAGTGTTATTTCTATGAAATGCTGCTGCTGGTGAAATATTGACAGATTACATTCCATAAGCAATCAAAAGGATGTAGATTCAGTTAGATCCTATCGATTGAATGGCTTGAGCTCAATAAATTCTAGTCAATTGATTCATCACAATGCGCCCAAAAGGCGTTGGGTGTTAGGTTTCAGTACCGCTCTCGGGGAATGTTTCAGCCGAATCTGAATACTAGATAGTTAGTCGCACTTTATATGTGACTAAAATTCACGAGGAACATCTGAAGAGATTTAATATATATGTAAGCATGCAGACAATCTGTGATCCGCGAGTTTGAGAGTATTTTTCATTTTCCCTTGTGCGATTAATCTTGCGTTCGAACTTTTCAGTTGAATATCCTCAATCTCATTAAATCCAGAAAAAGTCTACAAAAAAAACAACTGAAAACTACGCCAGCTGTAAGCAACAATAAAAATTTTATGTGATCGTTCAAGATCAAATGGAAAACTAGAAAAACACATATGAGATGATGTCAATCAATCTCTATGAAAAGTGAGAATCAGCAATAGGAAAGACCTTTAAGGAATAGTCCAATCTCAATTGGTGTTTGCGATATGTAAGTGAAGCTATCTAACTATGGTCCAAATGAATTAGATCATCATCTCATATGAACAATTCAATGCAAATGCTTCGATGCGGATGTCATCTCAACTCTCGCTCAATGTTTATCCAAAACTTAAAACACTCATATTTCTTCAACCGTATTCATTTTGACTAATTTTTTATGCGAAATGCATTTCATTTGAAATTTCATTAGAGGGATCAGCCAGAGCCTTTAAACGATTTTATACATTCAAGTATGGCACTTTACTGATATGGATTATTACGGTTCTGTTATCATTAGTAAAGTTAATGATAATACTAACAATAATAACAGCAACAATAGTGATGTCAACGAATGCAGTAATTCATTTATGGAATCAGTAATTACCAATCATGCCGATCGAGCTTATGCCTTTCCGCTATCACCCACACCAACATCGTAATGTTCCGCTGCGGATATCCTTCTTTCTGCAGTATGATCGGAAATTATTCATCCGTTTTAGTAAAGGAAATTATCCATTCGTCTTCATGAGATTCTCAATTTGATTGATGATTCGACGATTTTAGAGGTGTTGTGCCATTCGTCCGTATTGTGCAATGATTTCTGCAGGGTTTGGTTCGCAGTAAGTCCAAAAAAAAGCGTTATGATTGCTCGAATGATCATGCAAATGTTTAGTGATCATTCAAAAAACTTTTTGCACTGAAAGAATAACAGATGACCAGTAATCTGATCGTAAACCAGTTGAAATCAACGGATAACCGTAAACCAATAATCTTTCTGAAACTAATAAACATCGTTAGCTGCACGGAAAAAAGAATGCCAAGGAAGGAAGAATGTGATATTGGTGGCAACAGAAAGGCATAAACTCGTAATGAGTTGCGGTTGGACTTGCCGATTAAATAAATGAGTAAATGATGATATTTAGTATATTGTGGATAAATAGATGCCTAGAGATCTGCTTATTAACTGTTCCATAGTAAAACAACAGTAAAGATTAGTGTCATACATGTTCTGAATAATTAAACACAGTCGATCAGCAGTGCCATTTAAGAATCGATTGTAACATCTGTAAATCCCATCGATCTTCAATCATACACTCAATAAACCAATAAAAATATTCATGTAACAGTACAAATATTTCAAATGATAACGCTGATAATAAGAAAAATGATGAAATTATTATTCAAGGGACTAGAGGGCTCGATACCGACCTCGCTGGCCATAGCCGAATCGCTGAACACCCATTTGTTCGCGTCTGATCATTTTAATCGCCATATTCTGCAGGAAACTTTTTATTCACTGGCTCAAAATGGGTCTTTATTAGGACTGACCAATTTACTTGTGCTTGTTCTCGTTCGTTTTTCAATCTTATTACATTTCTCATTTTACGATAAGCAGATTTCATTGCTTTCATTGTTGAATCGACGTATCCCATAAACTCTTTCTGCTGTTTGCTAAGCTAAAGGATAGAAATCCCTTAGCTGCTCTGTTTGTCAGTTGCACGAGCTCAATGGAACCGTAATTTCTCGTAAAATTCTAAAACGTTTTCAAAGATGTTGAAAAGCTTAATTGGCCCTGTGCTGTCTTCGTTTTGGTCAGTGAAAACATAGCTGTATTTTTGGTTACTAGTAAAATATTATATTCGATAGTTCTGCTTATACTCTAATAAATTTAATTTGCTAACTAGTATATGTTTGAAGAGTAGAGACATTATTCAATCCAATATCTTAAATAATTATATGTATATTGTATTCAATCTGGATCTTTCATACACCGAAATACATCAAAATGTGCGATCTCAGGTGGTTATTCACCG